ATACACGTACAAAAGCACTTACATAAATGCACTTACATAATTGGTCGCATTTGGAGGTGATCGTTAAGCGGGGGTCCACTGTATATATATATATATATATATATATATATATAATATATATATATATGTATATATATATATATATATATATATATATATATATATATATATATATATATATATATATATATATATATTATATATATACACATACATGTATATATGTATATAAATGTTGGCCATCACTAATCCGGCATCGTTGGGACCTGTAGGGTGCTGGATTAGTGATTTTGCCGGATTACAGAGTGGTTTGATTAGAATGCACTTAACCCAACGGCAAAACTTGTGCATTGGCAATTTCACCCAGTTTACACCCCATTTTTGGCCCATCCCATTATTCCAATCTACCAAACTCATAGCTATTTCACTGGTACAAGAAACCACCTATTCACCTATTTCAAGTACCCAATAAAATTATTAGAAATCGGTAATTTGGACAATTTCACACGAATTTCAAAAGATGCCAATTTCAAAATAGGGTCCAGAATAAACACTGCAGACATTCCTAGCACTAAAATAACATTTTTCCTGTTCATCAGTCACGTTTTCAGGCCCCTCTTATATTATGCTTGCTTTCCATTTTGAATTTTTATTCACACAAAAAATAGAAAATTTACTGTTATGCAGACTACTGCATTATTATAATAATTGTATAAATAATGTCAACCCATTCATGACTGCATATTAGACTGGCCAGTTGGACATGTATTGGACGGTTTACTCTTGAACATCGGAAAAAATAAAACATTTCTGCTATTTTGAGCTCCATTTTCAGGTACTTTCTGGCATGAAACCAACCAAAATTATATCTCTTTCTGTAATATATCTTTCATTCTACCAAATGAGACCAAAAATACGAGAATAAAACAACCATATGAAAATACACTCCAAAAGTCGCTGTTTTACACCATAAGCAGAGTTGCCTTTTTTTCTCATTATGCATTGCTCGCTGCAGAATTTTTTTATATAGTGTACACTTACCACACAGACCTATTCTCTCATATGTAGGCCCAAATTTGGTCACATCTAGAGGCCCCTCTTATATTATTTATTTATTTATTTTCTATTTGGACATGATACATATTTGTACAAAGAAATATAGTGATTGGGTGTACATGCCAAAAGCTCATGGTATGCAGAGCATTATGAGCAGGCTTAAAATTAACTAAGCAATGATATATTCAGTGGTAAAACTTACAGTAAACAAATTACAACATGAAGTACAAATGAGTATTTCAAATAAGAAGCATTATAGTTGTACAAATTTGTAGCATAACAATGTATAATACGTTCCGATCAAATTGAATAACACCAATGATTTGTAGTGCAGAAACAGGTCATATGGGCATTAGATAAGTTACTGTGCATTCAAGAGAATGGAGTATTCTATTAGGTAATGTAATTAAAAGAAAAAAAACATAGTTTGATGGGGTCACAGGTTATACATTTATGAGATACAGTTATTCAGTATTTATTTAGTTGTGGGTGAGTAAGTGATTTTTAAGAAGAGTCATGAATTGGTAAACAGACAGTGTTTCTTTTATATTCACATGCAATGAATTCCAGATTTTTGGGCCTTTTATGTGCATTGAGTTTTTACATAGTGTGAGATGGACACGAAGAACATCAAAGAGTGATCTGTGCCTTGTGTTATGGTCATGGTTCCTGTTGAGGTTAGTAAGATGTTTGGGGGGAGGGTTTATATCCGAGTTTAGTGTTCTATGTATGTAGTAGGCACAATAATAAGTATGGATGTTTTTAAGGTGAGTAAGTTTAGAGTTTTGAATATTGGTGAAGTATGCTGCCTGGAGTAGGAATTTGTTATCATTCTGACTGCAGCCTTTTGTTGGGTAATTAATGGTGTGAGATGATTTATTGTTGTTGAGCCCCATGTACAAATTCCATAGGTGAGATAGGGGTAAATGATTGAGTGATATAGGGCCATGAGGGCTGATTGTGAAACATAGTACCGTATCTTCGATAGTATGCCTACGGTCTTGGAGATTTTCTTGGAAATTTGTTGTACATGTGTTTAAAATTTGAGTCTATTATTAAGGTGGATTCCTAAGAATTTTCCCTCTGTGAGCTTTGTGATAGGTGATCCATTTATCATTATGTTAAGAGGAACATCTGTAGTTCTGTTCCCAAACTGAATGAAGTAGGTTTTGTCAATATTGAGAGTAAGTTTGTTAATCATTATCCAGGTAGATATTTTCTGTAATTCAGTATTTACAGTATTGGTTAGTATGACTGGGCTTGGGTGAGAGAAGAAGTATGTAGTGTCATCTGCAAATAGTGTGGGTTTGAGTAGTTGCGATGCATTTGGTAGGTCATTTATGTAAATGAGAAAGAGAAGAGGGTCAAGGACACTTCCCTGTAGGACACCAACTGTAATTGGCTGTGTGGAAGAGTTTGCTCCATTTGTGTACACATATTGGCTTCTGTTGCTAAGGTATGACTTAAGGTAGTTGAGGGAGTGCCCTCTTTTACCAAAGTGTGATAATTTTATGTGCAATAAATCATGGTCAACTGTATCAAATACTTTACGTAAATCAATGACGATCCCAATGGGACTTCTTTTTTCTCGAGTGCAGTGTATATTTGTTCTAGCATGTGTATAATAGCACCATTCATATTTTTATTAGGCCTGAACCCAATCTGGCAGGGGTTGAGTATGTTGTGGGAGATGAGGTAGGAATAGATTTGCTTATGAATTAATTTTTCAGAGATTTTAGAGAGAGGGCGTAAGTTGGATATTGACCTATAGTTATTCAAGTCTGCTTGATCTCTTCTTTTATGTATCGGGGTGACCCTCGCTCTTTTGAGAACTGTAGGGAAGGTAGAGGATTCGATGGATTTGTTAAAGAGTGTTGCAATGATTGGTGACAGCACTTGTAAAGCTTTTTTTGTATATAAAGGGTGGTAAGGTATTTAAATCTCCTGCCTTGTTCTTTAGTGTGTTGATAATAAGAGAGACTTCTGTTGGGTTAGTCGGAGCTAGGAACAGTGTGTTCGGGTAGGTGCCAGTGAGGTAGTCACTGGGTGGGGTATTTGAGCTTGGGATTTTATCGGCAAGGTTTTTTCCTATGGTGGAGAAGAAAACATTGAGTCTGTGTGCTGTTTCAGTTGGTGCGAGTAGGGGTTTATCTTGTTTTGTTAGTTTGATGGTTCTGTTTCCTGATATCTTTTTTGTTCCTAGAATTTCAGATAGGGTTTTCCAGGTCATTTTTTATATCACCTTTTAAGTTGGATAATCTGTTCTCATAATACAATTTTTTTGCCATTATGCTAACTTTCCATTTTGAATTTTTATTCACACAAAAAATACAAGACTTACTGTTACGAAGACTACAGCATTATTGTAATAATTTTATCAATATGTTAACCCATTCATGACTGTGTAAAAGACCGGCCAGTTGGACACGTACTGGACGGTGACATCATTTGTTTACTCTTGAACATCAGGAAAAGTCAAACATTTCCGCTACTCTTGAACATTGGCAAAAATCAAACATTTCAGCATGAAATCAACGAAAATTATATCTATTTCTGTAATATATCATCCATTCTATCAAATGAGACCAAAAAAAAAAGAGAATATAACCATATGAAAATACACCGCAAAGTTGGATTTACATCATAAACACGGTTGCAGTTTTCCTCATTATGTACTGAGTGCTGCAGGATTTTTTTTATATAGTGCACACTTACCACACAGACCTATTCTCTCATATGTAGGCCCAAATTTACTGGTCACAGCTTATCTGAGTAAGCTGAGCTCATGGTGACTGACAGTGGCTTCAAAACCACTTTATCTTTTATGGACAATGTATAGTGTATGTGCTTTACACAATAAGAAGCATTTCTTTTATTTGTTGGAACCATGGCTGGGGCTAAAAGTGAGCAGGTTATAACAATAAATGAAGAAAAAAAACTGGAATGACTTACGCAGCGAGTAGCGGCACCAAACACTAGCGGCAGGTTGGTGTGGTGACCCCAGAAATTTTATATTATGCTAGCCGAAATTAATGCCGGATTACTGATGGAACCGGATTACAGTGGAACCTCCGTTTTCGTATGCCCTAGTCTTTATGTAAAACTACATGTATAGTTATTCTCTATAAAATGTATTTTTTTGTTAATATTTTTGGGTGTCTGGAACAGATTAATTGGATTTACATTATTCCTCATGGGAAATATTAATAAAAAATACATTTTAAAGAGAATAACTATAGTTTTACATACAGACTAGGGCATATGAAAACTGAGGTTCCACTGTACATTTAAAGAAGTTTTTTTCATTTATGTTAATGTAAAAATTAATAATTTTGTACCAAAAGAACCTTAGAAAACTTACCTAACCTTATTATAACAAGTGCAATTTAATTTAGCCAATTTTTTTTTTTTTTTTATTATCACACTGGCCGATTCCCACCAAGGCAGGGTGGCCCGAAAAAGAAAAACTTTCACCATCATTCACTCCATCACTGTCTTGCCAGAAGGGTGCTTTACACTACAGCCAAATCCAACTAAATATATTTTAGATAAGTTTACAATAATTTAACCCTTAAACGGTCCAAACGTATATATACGTTCATTCGCTCAGTGCCCCGAATATTTTGAAAAAAAAATAAAAAATCTTTTTTTCATATAGAAAAAAAGAGCACATTTTTTAAGTGTTTTAGCATAAAAAAAAAATTAGGGTCAGTACTTACCGAGGTATAAGGCCGCGAAGTTGGCACTTGGCAATCACCTGACGGCAACATGGAGCACTGCTGCTTGCAGAAATTCAACATATTTACTGTTTTCTTCCATTTTTTTTTTCATTTTCTTGGTTTTCATGATATGATAATTATGTTTCATAGTAAGTCATTTGATATCAATACCAATTTTCGTTTATACACCAATATTACATATGAAATTTTTGTCATAAACACACATGTACACACTGACAGGTGATTTTGCACACCTGGCTGAATCACACATTATTATCTACAACTATATACAAGTATTTACATGTCCCACTTATGTTTCTAGAACTCCACAATTGTATGATACTCCATGAAGCATGGATTCATACAGAGTGCCACCCCACACTGGTGACACATGAATCGTGTGTCCTTCTGCTGTTGGGGTCGTTTTTTGGTGGTAGCACACACAATACACTTTTTCTGGGCATTCTTCTTCTTTTGGGTAGGTGGTATTGGTACCAGATAGTGACAGTTAGGAGTGATTCGGTCTGGCACTTCCCCCACTGGCTGTGGTTGGGGGACAGGTTGTGGTGTGACAGGTCGCTGTTGAGGGGAAGGTACAGGTGTGGTACCATACTTCATACATACTGAATGCATTGAGCACTGCAATGTCTACAAGGTAAAAAAACAGTTTTATATACCACTTGCGACTCCTACGCACACAGTCAACAAACCCTATCATCATGTCACACTTGTCAACTAGTCGCATGTTGTTCGTATAGTCCACGACAGCAAGTGGCTTCACAATAGGTTCGTTGTTGAACTTGCTCAGTCTGTCTGTTTGTACCATCTCGTTTCTGTGGATAGTTGATAGCAATGTCACGTCTCGTTTGTCATGCCACGTCAGTGCCATGATGTCATTAGCATGAAACGCTTGCACTTCACCTTCAACACTGCCTCCAGTGAACCTTGGCATATGTTTCCTATTCCTTCTCACTGTTCCACATATATCAGTATTGTTCACACGTAGGAAATCAGCAAGCATAGGGCTTGTATACCAGTTGTCTGTGTACAATGTATGGCCCTTGCCAAGGTATGGTTCCATCATCCTGCGAACAACATCACCGGAAATGCCCAACATCCTTCTGTCATCATCGAGTGTGTTTTTCCCTGTGTATACAATCACATCCAACACAGGACCACTCTCACAGTCACACATAACAAAAAGTTTTATACCAAAGCAATTATGTTTGCTCGGTATATATTGCTTGAATGACAGGCATCCCTTGAACAGAATCAAGGACTCATCAACAACAATGTTCTTGAAGGGATAAAAGTATACACTGAATTTCTGCTTCAAATACATAAACACTTCCCGGATTTTGTATAGGTCATTTCTGTCTGGCATATTTCTGTCTGCAAAGTGCAACATTCGTAGCAATAGAGTGAATCTGTTGCAGGGAAGGTCACAAAAAACTGGAGTACTGATGAAGTGGTCTGTAGACCAGTAATTACGTATATTGTTCTTATAGATATGTGGCATAAGCATGACAGTGGCAAGGAATAAATACATTTCAGCCACTGTTGTGTCTTTCCACCTGTGCAGCCATGATGATTCTCCAACCTCTGTTGTGTTGTTCATGACATATTGGTAATAAAAGTTTGTCTGAGTCACTATCAAGTTCATTATAGGCTCGTCAAAGTACAACTGGAAATAGTCTAACTCTGTAGACTCATTCGTTATGGGACATTCTGGCTGGATACCACTTCCACTAGCATCAAAATCACAAGGCTGTGGCACGAATATACTTTGTGTCCAGTTCCACTCACGATCACATGGTGCAGGGTGGACCTGTGGCATGGGGCGAGGGGGGGCAGGAGGAGGAGGGAGAAGAGTGGAGGCAGCACATGGTTGAGGGGGTGCCGGGCGGACCTTTGTCTGTCCACCCACTGCGCCATGTGGTCCAGGCACCATGCCACCCACCACTACTTCCTCCATCCCTGCATACTCCCCTTCGTGATCACTTTCACTATCAGTGGCCGGGGTTTTGGATCGTGACCTGCCACGACCCTTGGGGATTGCATATGGCACACTGCCTGAACGTAGATAACGGCGCCTATAAGTACGTTTCACTGGTGAACAATGAACATCACTATCACTAGACGAATCCTCAACTGGCATAAAATCAATCTCATCATCACTTACATCACTTTCACTATCACTCCTAAAACACCGGGAAAATGATAGTTTCCTCTTGCGAAGTTGCCTATGGGTAATACTTGCCACTCCAGAGGTGCTTGGCCTAGGGTCTTCTGTGGCCACACTGGCCACCCCAGAAGTGCTTGGCCTAGGGTCTGATGTGGCCACACTGGCTACCCCAGAGGTGCTTGGCCCTAGGACAGGTGTTGCTACCCCAGAGGTGATGGGCTGGGGGTCATCTGGGTTATCGTCGATATTTTCACTAATTCCTTGAATATTACTGGCCCCATTGGTGTCAAATCCACTAAACTCACGATCTCTATCACTTTCCTCAAATAGTAGAGTGTTAATACGACGAGGCGTGAGTGAATCACGAGGATGTGCCATGATGTTGACCCAGGATGGAGCTGAATGTAACTGGTCCTACCATGTGGTACCCAGGCATCCCAGATTTTTTGTATACTGCGCACACTGAGTGCACACACCCATTCTCTCATGTCTAGGTGACTCAGGCCTATCGCGCTAATTTTGAACGAATGAAAAATAAAACGTATAAATAAATTTGGGGCGCTACGCGCGTGAACGTATATATACGTTTGGACCGTTTAAGGGTTAATAACAAAAAAAGACACAATACCGTGACTGGAACGATTTAATAATCAATTTAATAATTTAATAATAAACAAACACAATAAACATTTTTTTGCTACGTTCAGAATGATTTTTGCAAAATTATTGCATACACAAATTTTCACTTGCCTAATTTGGCAAGAAGAGCATTGCTATTTAAGCAAAAATTGCAAGTTTTACCTATTCAGCACAACACACACACACACACACTCGGGGCCAAGAGCTATGACTCGACCCCCGCAACCACAAATATGCGAGTACACACACACACATATATATCAATGCACCATGCAGAAACAGGCTGGTATACACAGAGAAAGATCACAGGATCAAAGCACGATTTGAAGCCATATATGTACATGCATACATACGTAGTGTCAAAGTATTGTATTGGATGGTACCGGTAAACACCTGGCCAATACCAGCTGATACTTTTTAAAATATTAATATCACATGTTTGCTTAACCCTTTCAGGGTCGAGACCCCCTGATCCTTAAGTCCTACTCAGGGTCGAAAAATATTCAATAAATAAAAAAATTATTTGTTCTCATGAAATGATAGAGAATCTTTTTATGATCATAATGACAACAAAAGTATGAAATTTGATGGAAAACTTATAGAGTTGTGCTCTCGCAAAGTTAGCGGTATCAGCGATATTTACGCATTGGCGGTTTCGTCCACTTTGAGCCCTATTCTCAGCCAATTCCAATGTTTCAATCTACTAAAATCATAGCTATTTTGCTAGAATTCTATTTGTTCTATCAACTGAGTACAAGAAACCACCTATTTACCAATTTCAACTACCCAATAAAGTGGTCAGAAATTGGTAATTTGGCCAATTTCACACAAATTTCAAAAGATGCCAATTTCAAAATAGGGTCCAGAATAAACAAGACAAGACATTCCTGGTACTAAAATAACATTTTATCTGTTCATTAGTCACGTCTCCAGGCCCCTCTTACATTAATTTTGCTTTCCATTTTGAAGTTATATTCTCACAACAAATAGAAGATTTACTCTTATGTATACTACTGCATCACTGTAAAAATGGTATAAATAATATCAGCTCACTTGTGCAAGAATATTAGACTCACCAGTTGACGTGTACTGGACGCGTGGCGTGATTTATTTGCTCGTGAACATCGGAAAATAATCAAACATTTTCGCTAATTTGTGCTCAATTTCAAGGTACTTGTCATCGTGAAACCAATCAAAATTATCTCTGTTTCTGTACTATATGTTCCATTCTATCAAATGAGACCAAGAAAACAAGAATACAACCATAAATACCATACAAAAAAAGATTGCAAAGTCGCTGTTTCAAACCGAAAACACGGTCAGTTTTCTTTTCTCTCATTATGCACTGTGTGCTGCAGGATTTTTTTTTATACTGGCCCGGTGGCCTGGTGGCTAAAGTTCCCGCTTCACACACGGAGGGCCCGGGTTCGATTCCCGGCGGGTGGAAACATTTCGGCACGTTTCCTTACACCTGTTGTCCTGTTCACCTAGCAGCAAATAGGTACCTGGGTGTTAGTCGACTGGTGTGGGTCGCATCCTGGGGGACAAGATTAAGGACCCCAATGGAAATAAGTTAGACAGTCCTCGATGACGCACTGACTTTCTTGGGTTATCCTGGGTGGCTAACCCCCCGGGGTTAAAAATCCGAACAAAATCTTATCTTATCACACTGACCATGCAGACCCATTCTTTCACATCTAGGCCTACCAGCCTTTTCCTGCTTGATTTGAAGGCGCTAGAATTTATGCGTACTAGTAGGATACCAACCCTGGTGCGTAAGATGTACTAGTATGGCATCAACCCTGAAAGGGTTAAGAATATCAACATTAACACTGTACCTCATGATTGTAAGTTACTGTTACACATACACACACACACACACACACATGCATATATACACACATGCACTTTCTCACACATAAACAAAAAATGTAAAATTAAACTGTCCAAAAGTAGATCTTCGTTCACTCTCATAGCCCTCCAAACGTAGATCTACATTTTATTTTAGATGCTTTCAAATGTAAAAAAAAATGTAGATCTATACTTGGAGCACTGTGTTATTTAACCCTTTCAGGGTCGACAGGCCCTGTCAGAGACTTGTTCTCAGGGTCGGCCAAATTTAAAAAAAAAATTATTTTTTCTTATGAAAAGATAGAGAATCTTTTCCCGATCATAATGACACCAGAAGTATGAAATTTGATGGAAAACTTACAGAATTATGCTTTCGCAAAGTTAGCAGTCTTGATGATGTTTACGCATCAGCGATTTTGTCCACTTTGAGTCCTATTTTCAGCCAATTCCAGTATACTTGTTGACAAAAATCATAACTATTTCGCTAGAACTCCATTTTTTCTATCGAATGAGTACAAGAAACCACCCATTTACCGATTTCAACTATCCAATACAGTGGTCAGCATTTAGCAATTTTGCAAATTTCACACAAATTTCAAAAGATGCCAATTTCCGAATAGGGTCCAGAATAAACAAGAAAGACATTCCAGGCACTAAAATAACATTTCCTCTGTTCATTAGTCACGTCCCCATGCCCCTCTTACATTCTTTTGCTTTCCACTTTGAATTTTTATTCTCACAAAAAAATAGAAGATTTAAGGCTATGCAGACTACTGCATTGATGTAGAAATGATATAAATAATATCAGCACACTTGTGAAAGAATATTAGACTCACCAGTTGACGTGTATTGGACACATAGCGTGATTTGTTTACTTTTGAACTTTGGTAAAAATCGAACATTTCTCCTACTTTGAGCTCAATTTCAAGGTACTTTTCTTTGTAAAACCAGTCAAAATCATCTCAATTTCTGTAATATGTCTTCCATTCTATAAAATGAGACCAGGAAAACTAGAATACAACAATAAACACCATACGAAAATATAGTGCAAAGTTGCTGTTTTAATCCAAAAACAAGGTCAGTTTTTTTTTTCTCATTACGCACTGTGTGCTGCAGGATTTTTTTTATACTGTGCACACTGACCACATAGACCCATTCTTTCATATGTAGGCCTACCAGCTTTCTCTCACTAGATTTGAGGGCGCTAGAATTTAGGCGTACTAGTACGTCAAAAACCCTGGCTCGTAAGCCGTACTAGTACGGCCGAAACCCTGAAAGGGTTAATATCCATTGTGCAGTAAGCATTTCCTTATATGTATACTGAATTCATTATAATTTTAACCTTTTCAGGGTCGAGAGGCCGTCTCCAAAACATGTTCTCAGGGTCGAAAATTTTTCGGAAAAAAAAAAAATTCTTATGAAAAGATAGAGAATCTTTTCACGATCATAATGACACCAAAATTATGAAATTTGATGGAAAATGTACGGAATTATGCTCTCACGAAGTTAGCGGTCTCGACGATGTTCATGCATCGGCGATTTTGTCCACTTTGAGCCCTATTTTTGGCCAATTCCTGTGTACTAGTTGAGAAAAATCATAGCTATTTTGCTAGAACTCCATTTTTTCTATCGAATGAGCACAAGAAACCACCAATTTACAGATTTCAACTATCCAATAAAGTGGTCAGAATTTAGCAATTTTGCCAATTTCACACAAATTTCAAAAGATGCCAATTTCCAAATAGGGTCCAGAATAAACAAGAAAGACATTCCTGGCACTAAAATAATATTTCCTCTGTTCAATAGTCACATCCCCAGGCCCCTCTTACATTTCTTTTGCTTTCCACTTTGAATTTTTATTCTCACAAAAAATAGAAGAATTACTGTTATGCAGACTACTGTATTAGTGTAGAAATGGTATAAATAATATCAGTGCACTTGTGAAAGAATATTAGACTCACCAGTTGACATGTATTGGACACCTGGCATGATTTGTTTACTTTTGAATTTTGGAAAAAATCGAACATTTCTGCTACTTTGAGCTCAATTTCAAGGTACTTTTCATTGTGAAACCAATCAAAATCATCTCAATTTCTGTAATATGTCTTCCATTCTATAAAATAAGACCAGGAAAACTAGAATACAACCATAAATACCATACGAAAATACAGTGCAAAGTCGCTGTTTTAAACGAAAAACACGGTCAAAGTTTTTTTTCTCATTACGCACTGTGTGCTGCAGGATTTTTTTTTATACTGCACACACTGACCACATAGACCCATTCTTTCGTATGTAGGCCTACCAGCTTTCTCTTGCTAGATGTGAGGGTGCTAGAATTTAGGCAGACTAGTATGTCAAAAACCCTGGCGAGTAAGCCGTACTAGTACGTCGGAAACCCTGAAAGGGTTAAAAATAAAAATTTAGGAAAAAGTGCCTGCTGAAAACTGAGTATCAGAATTGGCCAAAAATTGGTATTAATATCAGCCAATATTGTGATATCATCCCATCCTAAATATATACGGGTCTCCATATAGTGCAAACACATCAAGCACCACTTTTTTAGCCTCCATGATCATAGTCACTCTTGCTGGAAAGTCATAACCAGTTTAAGCTGAGGCATCAACAAAACAGCATCATCCTCCCAATATGAAAAGGAGCTTGGCCTTAGAGAAATTTAGGAATTAAAGTGTAGCTGATGTTAATGTTTTGGTAAATTACAACCTTAATGACTTTTCTGTAGTTGACAGCTTCAAATTGAAGTGCAAAGAAGTGCAACACTATCAATAATTACCAAAGAAGCATGTCAATTTTTTTTGTTAATTAATACATTGGCCATTTCCCACCGAGGCAGGGTGACCCAGTAAAGAATAATCACTATTATCACTCATTCCATCACTGTCTTGCCAAAGGCATGCCTACACTACAGTTCAAAAACTGCAACACATCTTCACTCTTCCTTCAGAACACAGGCACTGTACTCACCACATGCAGGACTTAAGTCTGGCTAACTGGTTTCATTGAATCCCTTCATAATTGTTACTTTACTCACACTCCAACAGCACATCAAGTCATAAAAACCATGCCTCTGCTTGTTCTTATCTAACATGCTCATGCACACATGCCTGCTGGAAGTCTAGGTCCCTCACATTAAAACCTCATTTATCCCCTCCCTCCAACCTTTCCTGGGACAACTACCACACCTTCCCTCCACTACAGATTTATATGTCCTCCAAGTCATTCTATTTTGTTCCATCCTCTCTAAATGTCTGAACCACCTCAACAACCCCTCCTCATCCCTCTGGGCAATACTTTTAGAAACCCCACACCTCCTCCTAATGTCCAAGCTATGGATTCTCTGAATTATATTCAAGCCACACATTGCTCTCAGACATGGCTGGATGCAGCCTTCTTCTTGTTGTAACATTCACCATTCATGCTTCACACCCATATAAGAGTGTTGGTAATATTTTAAACACTGCTTTGTAGTCTTGAATATGAAATTATTCTAAACTAG